ATATATATATATATATATAACGCATTAGCGATTTTTTAAACAAATGCAAAAATCTGTCACATAGCACTCTCGCGTGATAATTAAATTGACCATCTATTTAAAAATATTCAGAACAAAATGTGCATGATAAAATAATCCAACTCAACAAAAATGCTGCGAATGAAAAATATGCTCCGAAAATCAACATCCGTGACTTAATTAATATTAATTTGATTAAACTATCGTCCAGTAAGAAGAAAGTAAAACAAGCTTCTTACTTCCCAGATTCGTTATCTTTTCACCAGTGGTCTGGAACGTATGAATTAAATTTTTAAAGAACCTCGTTGTAATTCCTTTGCAAGCGCCTTGCTATGAAAATACTTTCGCAGGAAGGAAACTCGGGGAAAAGGAAAAATTTTTCGTCGCACGGTTTACTCTTTGAAACCACCTGCCTTTTATTAACACACTTCCTTTGACCACGTGAGCGCAGCTGAAGACGCAATGGCGGTCGGTTTCCACCAATCAACCCTGTATTTGCTTAAGAAATAATTCTCGCCGATGCTCGACCGTCTCGTATTAACAATACTTAATGGTACCCTTTCATACGGCGGGAATAATCGATTCTTAGGGATAGAATAATTTAATCGGCAAACGCGAAGTTCATTTATCGAATAATTCTCATCTTGGAATTCGATTTAACATCGCTGATGATATATACATATTATATATCTTTCGTAACAAGCAGACTTTTTCAGGATTTTCATGCATCTAATCTAATGGCATTTTATATCACGAAAGTTGTTTCAACGTCAGTTGATACTATAATGTAAGGGAAACTTATTGCGAGAGATAACGTTTAGAGGAGAGAAAATGTTTGTCCACCGCGCGGTGCAACTGCGGCGCATAACTGCGATTTCTTTGGTGCAATGCGAATAACGTTTCGCACACAGGAGTCACTGACTCCCAGATGTAACGTAGTCGCGACGACTAATTTTAACTTCCTCACCGGCTATATGAATAAAAACAGACCGATCGAGACGGCGTTTGCACTCGAAATAAGAGCAATTTTTCTCCAGGCTCTGGGAGAATCCCGACCGGGGCGAAACCCGCCTGATTCGATTTGTTTTCAACGTGTTGCTGCATTCCTGTTTCATCGCGTGCCTCTTGAAATTCACGCGGCAACGGAGATATTTTCTTGGAATAGCAAATTCTGCTCTCTCGACCTAAATAACGGTATCTCGCGCGAACGACATCTAAACGTTCAATGGTTCGAGCTTTCAAACCTTACCGCTTTAAATCTTTGCTTTTCAATCTTAAATTTTTATGTGCACGATAATTTGATAATAAATTCCTCCGGTTCTTTATAATATAATTCTATCTCACTGATTCAAGCTCAAACCTTCTAATAAGAAATATAAAATATTGCATAAACGCGGTGTAGTTTAATTACCCCATGCGTTTCCATCGAACAAATTTCGCAATGCAAGACGCAGTGTTCAGGAAAAAAAAGTACCTTTTTTACGTTTACACTTAATACAAAATATCCAGCCTAATTTACCTGACATTGTCTAGATTCGCTTTTAACGTAACAATGTATTAAGTAATAAAGGTCTCACGACGCACAATCTAATTCTCTAGAATGATTTCACGCAATCAATGCGCTGCATGACCTTTGCCCCTCTATCTTTCAAGTTATTATCCATTTGTTATCGGAAATGTAACACTTCATTAATAATATTTGATTAATATTTCATTATGCATGTAATATTTCATTAATATCTTATGTTCGTTTAATTCTATATATATATATATATATGTGTATGTGTGTATATGAATTTATTAATATTTTATTTCCTTAAAATTTTATTATTAACTCACTGAAAAAAAAAGATTTAAAAACGGAACTCTTTTTTTCGTAAAATAATTATATTACTTCTCAACATTTCGTTTGTCCCTATTCCAGTATATTCGTAGACTTTATCAACTAAAGTTCGCTAAAAAATTATTCAAAGACTTCTTTCTCAGTTATTCAAATCTTTCATCGATATATCAAACATATCGAGCATATGATTAAATAAGGGATGAAATTCGTGTACAAAATTGCAAGTACATTAAATGTTGCGTGCATCATCTTTCATCATCTCAAGAGACACGTCCAACTATTTAAAAAAACTTGAGTTCCTAACTTCGACGATGAATCGTAGTTCACGATACAGATTCCCCCCCGATACGACACCCAGTAGCAAAATTGCATATACAAAATCGATGAAAACGAATTCCCGATGATACATTGCATGTACATTGCTCGATGAAATCCGGGCAATTTTGGATTAGCTATTCGAATGTTCGTCGAGGCCGCAGAAACGCGTTCCCTCCTCGCATCGAATGCGACTTGGCCGGGAATCGACTTGGGCCAAACGACTCCGCGATTCGAGAAGGCCGAGCCGAGCCGAAGTGAGCCGAAGTGAGCCGAGCGCAGCCGAACGCGACTGAACACGCGGAACGCAGTAGAAGGAAGACTCCGGGCTTCCCTCGGGGCCAAGCACGGAGACGAAACGGCGAGCAACGAAGGAACTATGGTCGTAGACTCCGCAGGCAGGGTCCACGGGTCGTGTCTTTCCTCGTCGGTGTATTGAACTTGGTTTGTAGGGGTCATTCAACTCGTGGAAACCGGCGTGTCGTCTCTGGTGACGTCACGTGACTTGCCGTCTCCGGAGGCAGGCGATGACGTGGCACGCGTTCATTGGCCCAACGCTCGCCCGCTACCCAATGACGTCACAGCTCGCGGAGGCGCGGACCTGTCCGGGGCGCTGCCACCGCAAATCGCGACGTCACCAAGTATACCAATGTCGATAAACTTGCCGTGCTGCGGCCTACGTACATACACAAACACGCGTATCCTCGGAGATTCAACAGCACAAATATATAGATGTCACTTTTTCCTCTTTTTTTTTTTACAGCAATCATGCTACAGTACTTTTTGAAGCGAGGTAAGGTTAGGTTTCGAAAACTCGATCAACCCTCTACGGATCGAATATTTTTCTTGATCAACAAAACATATAAAATACAGATTAACAATGAATTCAGCAGTTTCAACAATTTGATTACAACGAATAATAAAATTGACATTTCAGGGCAGAGGTGATAATTGTTATCAAGAATGTTACTGCTTTTAATAAAGCAGACATTGTACAATAAGACGTGTACGCCATCTTGTGCAAAAAAATTCAATTATTTAATAAAATATCGATATATTGGTATGTGACTTGAAAGTTACACGGGCCCATAGAAAGTTAACGTGACATTGCTGGGACTCCTTCTTAGAGTAGAAAGTCATGTAGGATTCTCAATTACGTTGATAAGTATTAAAAAAACTACTAAATTTTGCTGAAAAAATTAGTTGCCAGAGTCGTGTGCTTTGTGAAAGTTGTGTCGATTGTTCTTTGACATTCTGCATATATATCTTAATGTTCAACGTCAGTTTTGCGGAACATGTGGGAAATGCACGAAACGTGTCATTTTGTATTTTTGTCTCACTCCCAATTATCTTCCCCTATGAAAAGACCTGCTCATTCCATGACATTACAACATAACATCCTTCCACAGCGTCACTATTCGAACCAAGCGCATCAGAAACAAAAAGATCGACGACGATATCCGAATCGAACCCATGGTGGAGAGGTCGCAGATCTCGCCCAGTAGTTAGATCACACCAAGAATCACAGCCACTTCCTGTACCTGCAGGTGCATCATCATAACTTCAAGCAACGGGGCTATAAATAATGATTGCGAATTATTTTTAGCAACGGAGGCCTCTCGCTGCAGAGCGAGCAAGCAGGATTGAAAGAGACAAGGCACACGCGAAGGAACAACGAGGAGGAGAAAGGAGAAAGTAGAGAGAATGGAAAAGTGGTGGGAGAAAGAGGGCGAGAGAGAGAGAGAGAGAGAATCCGCTGGCAGTGGGCGGCTTTCCTCAGGAGGAACTCACGGCCGAAACGGACACTCGGAGGGTCCTATGTTTGGTTGAGGCTGGTTAACTGTCCGGTTGGATGGTACTTTTGGTTCGCCGCTTCTCTTCTCTCTTCGTTTACTGAGTTTGTTGACTCTCGGTTTCAGCACGCCGGCTGACCATGACCTCGCCGAACGATCCGCGAAGCAACACCAAGACAACTCCCTGCCGCCCGCTCTCTCGACGTCGTTGTCCTTGTTGCCTCCCTCCTATACGGTAACACTTGCTTGCATACAACCCGCTAACGAAGCAGCCGATGCACATTTACCGAAGAAGGAGGGACACGCGGTTCCAGTTCTATCGCCGATCCACCTGACTTCGCTGGGTGCTAGAGCAGCCGCGGTATCGGAATTTCGACGAAAACGAACAACGTACCGAGGCGGAATAGCGGTCATTGCCATCCGATCACTGGCATCGGTGCTTGCATCGAAGATGGAAGTTGCAAGTTCGCGTGGATGGAGGAGCAACGCTTGCGTGTCGATTTCGTTGGACTCGACTCGATGCATCGTGCTCATTCTTCGCCGGAATATTTGCGTAATTGTTGGGAGGGTATCGCGGATAATTGTAAGGTTTACGCGTGTGCAGAATTGATAATCGTCTCCAACACCGAAGGAGTAGCTGTGAACGAAAGCTTCTATATTTATATTTTTTTTTTTTTAAACGACACTTCTATGAAAGAAATTATTGGAATAGATTTATGACATTCGGCTATGATTTATGGAACTGTTAGAAATATATAGAAATGAAAGAAGTCTTCTTTGTAAAGAAATGAGAAATATTCTAATTTCGCTTTCAAAGGTCCTCAACATTTATGAATTCCCTCTATTTTTGATAGCATGCCGCTAAGCAACATGCTATATTTATGTAATTATTCATAACTCTTTTGAAGCTGATGCATATTCCCAAAGTATTTTTATACGTCACTTACG